GCCCGCTGGAGAGGAGCCAGCCCCGGCCAGGCAGGGGAGCGGAGCGCGGGGCTTTTATTACCCCGAGTGACCTCATTTCCCAATATTCCCCTTTTCTCGCTGCTAATTGCAGCAGGGCCCATCTCCTCAGCCAAATGGGCACCGCTTCAGCCCTCAGGCTGCCTTTCCGATTTCCTTTAATGAGATGAAATCCTTCAGACCCGAGCTGTGGCAGCTGGTCCCTGCCCGGGGGGTTCCTGCTCCGAGAGGTTCCCTCTCCTGCTGGGGAGGTGCCTTCAGCCTCTCCGAGCTGGGAGAGCTCAGTGCACACTGCACACTCTGCAATCTGGAGCCAGCCCGCTCCTCCTGCCTGCCCTGCATCCCACAGCGTGTGCTGCACGGATCCTGCTGCTGGAGCTGCAGCTGGAGCAGCGCTGCTCTGCCACCCTGGGGGCTCCCATGCAGAACGGGCTGAGGGACACCCTGGGCAATGTCCATGGGGGCTCCCATGGCAGAACGGGCTGAGGGACACCCTGGGGAATGTCCATGGGGGTTCCCATGGCAGAACAGACTAGGGACACCCTGTGAATGTCTCCTGGAGGGTTCCCATGGCAGAATGGGCTGAGGGACACCCTGAGGAAGGAGGCAGCTCAGGTCCTCCTGCCCGGCGTGGGGCTGTGCAGCCTGACCCACTCTTGCCAAGCAGTGGCGTTTCTGGCCCACTTGGTAACAACCTCCTGTGTCTTCTCCAGGGAAAATATGAAGAAAGATTCCTGAAGGATGAGACCATCTCCCAGCAGATCAACTCTGTGGAATCCCTCCCGGAGCTGCAGCTCTCCCTGGAGGACAAGAAGCCCGAGCAGCTGCTGCAGAGGAAGCTGCGGGTGAGGAGCCGGCCTCCTTCCAAGCCCACCATTGTCCGAGGGGTCACCTACTACAAAGCCCAGTCCCCCGAGTCAGAGAATGACATCGAGGAGCAACGTGAGTTGGGTATGGAGCCGTGCTTGGTGGGGTGGGGGCTGCATCCCGCAGCAGAGCCAGTGCCTCATCCCCTGGGGACGTGTGGGAGCAGCAGGGCAGGTGGGACAGCCGGCACCTCATGGCCGTGCAGCCCGTGAGCTGCGGATGTGGGGCACCGTAGCATTGTTACTCCATGGAAAATGCCTGGTGGCTGAGGAAATATGTCACTGCTTCGGTTCAGAACACCCAGCATCAACACCTCTCCAGAAGCAAATGGAGGTTTATTAAACGTGCTCGTGTTTCAATTCTGCCGGCCCAGTTTGTGCAGAGTGTAGGGTGGAGGCAGCTCGGAGCACGGCCAGGGGTCTGAGCACGGCCAGGGGTCTGTGCTGGGAGCAGGGGCTGAGCCCTGCGGGGCTTTGGGAGCTCCTGACCAGGAGGAGAACCCCACTGCTGGGGAACCCCAGTGATCCCCGTGCCCCGGCTGAGGCACCCTGGTTAGGTGAGTGGCATCTGCACGGGGATGCAGCTGGGTTTCCATCCCCATGGATGAGAGATGTCTCCATCCTGCCCCGTCTCTGGGAGGTCTCGGCAGGGCAGAGCTGATCCCCATCACCTCCTGCCCTGCCTGGCCTGAGGTGCTGGGGCCTCACTCACCTCCTGCCACGGGCACTGTGGCTCTCTGAGGGGACGTGGGGAGGGAACACGGGTGGTTCAGTAGAGCCCGCAGAGGTGGTGTCACCCCGGGCCAGGTGGGTGGGAGCCGGCTGGGGCTGCGGGGCTGACACCTGTGCCTGTGCTCGGCAGCGGACGAGCTGTTCAGCGGGGACAACACGGTGGACCTGCTGATAGAGGACCAGCTCCTGAGGCCCAGCAGCAGGGCAGGCGAGGCCGTGAGAAAACCCTCTCCCGTGGGCTGGCCACCCACCCCTGGCAGCGCTCCCACCACCCCGCCGGCCGCCGGCACCGCCGCCACGGCCACCCTGTCCCTGTCCCCCGCCACGCCGGACCCCACTGTCCCGGAGCCTGTCACCGCCCCGGCAGGGCTGCCCGAGGAGGGCACCCCACAGCTGCCAGCAGCCTTGGCCAGCACGCTGGTGGCCACGGCCACAGAGACTTTGCCCGTGGCCACCCCCGCTGGAGGCTGGAGTGAGGTGGAGAGCAGCCCAGGAACTTGGCTCCAGGCGAACACCCCCCCAACGCCGGTCAGCCCTGCCACCCCAAAGGAGGGCCTGGAGGAGGAGGACATCAGGAGCATCATTGGTGAGTGAGTGCTGCAGGTCCTGCGCCCATCCTGCCGTGTGAGGGGGGCTGGCTCGTGCCCACAGTGTGTCCTGCTGAGCACAGCCCTCCTGGATTTGGTCACAGTGGGAGGTGTCACGGAGATGGCAGCTGGACATGTCCACTTCACTGAGGTCTACTTATTAACTCTGGAACCTGCTGTAGTTTCCTCCCACCTTTAGGGGCTGGGCTGGGCGCAGCAAAAAGAGACAGGACCTGAGACAGGCAGCAGCCTCAGCTGGAGCAGGGACATGGCTGAGGCTGTGGAGAGATGTTTGTGGGTTCTGGCCGGTCCTCACAAAGCTGCAGCAGGGCCAGGGTGGCAGGGGGTGGCAGGGGGCACCTGCTGGGTGAGTGAGGGGCTGCAGGGGGGTGGTGCCTCCAGGGACAGTGTGGCAGCCCTGCCTCTGCCTCACAAGCTTTCCCTTCCCTGCAGGGCGCTGCAAGGACACGCTGTCCACCATCTCGGGGCCCACCACCCAGAACACCTACGGGCGCAACGAGGGAGCCTGGATGAAGGACCCCCTGGCCCAGGAGGAGCGGATCTACGTCACCAATTACTACTACGGCAACACGCTGGTGGAGTTCAGGAACCTTGACAATTTCAAGCAAGGTGGGTTTGCACCAGCTCTGGTACCACTGGTCCAAGGAGCGTCCTCACTCCTGGGGATGCTGCATCGTGGGGGGACAATCTGCCTGGGGACCTTCCACCCTTGGCTGCTGGCACCCGGCGTGTGGGGTACGGGACGTGGGACAGCTCAGGCTGTGCCTGGTGGCCGGGGAGGGGGTGCAGGCAGAGCTGGGGGCAGAGCGTGCCCCCGCCCCCGTGCGAAGGGAGGTCTCACCAGGCGGGTGTGTCTGCCCTGCAGGTCGCTGGAGCAACTCCTACAAGCTCCCGTACAGCTGGATTGGCACGGGGCACGTGGTCTACAACGGCTCCTTCTACTACAACCGCGCCTTCACGCGCAACATCATCAAGTACGACCTGAAGCAGCGCTACGTGGCCGCCTGGGCCATGCTGCACGACGTGGCCTACGAGGAGTCCACCCCGTGGCGGTGGCGGGGCCACTCCGACGTGGACTTTGCGGTGGACGAGAACGGCCTGTGGGTCATCTACCCGGCCATCAGCTACGAGGGCTCCAGCCAGGAGGTGATCGTGCTGAGCAAGCTGAACGCGGCCGACCTCAGCACGCAGAAGGAGACCACGTGGAGGACGGGGCTGCGCAAGAACTTCTACGGGAACTGCTTTGTCATCTGTGGGGTCCTGTACGCCGTCGACAGCTACAACAAGAGGAACGCCAACATCTCCTACGCCTTTGACACGCACACCAACACGCAGATCATCCCCAGGCTGCTCTTTGAGAACGAGTACGCCTACACCACACAGATAGACTATAACCCCAAGGACCGCCTGCTCTACGCCTGGGACAATGGCCACCAAGTCACCTACCACGTCATCTTTGCCTACTGAGACCCCCCCACCGCAGTGGGGCACTGCAAGCCAGGGGCCACCAGCACCTTTTATTATTATTTTTATTGTTATTATTGTTATTTTGTACAAATTGAAGAGTAAATGATGGGTTTTGTTCCAAGCTGGTTTTTTTATGGCGGATTGTAGATCGATCCCCAGGCCAGAACCACCCCCTTCGTCTTCGCTGTATCCTTGCTTCCGATTTCCCTTCCCAGGGGAAGGAGGTTCTCCTCTGGAAGGGCAGGCCCAGCTCTCCTGCCCAGGGAAGAGGAGGTGGCCCAGACAAGGTGCTCCCGATGATGTTTTTATCTGATCAGCGAGGCACCCCGAAGCAGGGCACAGCTGCGCTCAGCAGGCCCCAGCGGGACGCTGCAGCTGCCCGTCCTGCTGGAGCACCCGCACGTCCCGTGGCAATGTCCCGTCTCTCAGGACCACCTTCCCAGCCCCCTGCAGATCCTGCTGTACATCGGGGCTGCGAGCACAGCTCCGGCAGCCCCTGGTGCTGGTACTTACGCCGAGGACTGTCCCCTCCGCTGGGGCTGTGCTCCCTGCAGGCCGCTCCGGGCGCACCCCGAGCCCTGGCTCCCGACACCCCGAGCCTGGAGGGAGCCGGCGGCGGGAGGGGGATGCTGTAAATACGTGTGGATGGCTTTTGTTTGTTCATTTTGTAACCCAGAGTAGTCCCCCTTGGCATGTGCTGGGTGCAGGCTCTGCTCAGCTGGGCTGCCTGGGTAGGGGCTGGCAGAGCCCTGGCTGTGCCTCTCCATCTCCTCCCTTCCCTCTCCTGCCCATGCCCACCCTGCTCCTGCACCATCAGCATCCCCTCGCAGAGGCACAGCCCTCGCCCTCCTGCCCACCAGCATCTTGTATTTACCTGCTGTCAGTAATAAAGGATCCAGTACCTTTGCAGCTGTTTGGGGCTTTCTTTGGCTCTGCTTCACCCTCTGGGTGCATGAAAATGCACAGGGGTGTTTTGGGTGGCTTTTGGGTGGTTTGGGGAGAGCTGGTTTACACACCAGCTGGAGACAAACCCCAGAGGGCTGAATGCTGCTTGGGACTGGCACTGGGGCAGGGCGGCACGGCCACGTCCAGCCCTCATGGGCTGCTCTAGCAGGCCCTGGGTGAGCAGCTCGTGTAGGGTGCCCCGTCTCCAGCAGCAGGAGGGGCACAGGGTGGCTGTGCCACGGGCAGTGCCAGCACTGTGCCAAGCAGAGCCACACTGCGGCCCAAGAGATGGCAGACCAGGGCGTGTTCCAGTAATGTGCCTAAGGAAAACAGCATTAACAAGCACAACAGCAGTTATTAGTAATAAATAAAAGAAGGATTTTATTGCCTTCAGTACTAGGGACACAGAGAACAGAATTACACAGGATGAGAGATGCTCTCCAGCACCAGAGCCCGGGGGTGCTGGTTGAGGATGTGGTGCCGCAGCAGCCCCGAGCCCCAGCCCCCAGCAGCCCTTCCTGACGAGCCAAGCCCAGCCAGCACCCCAGTGCCCTCCCCAGCTCCCCGGAGCAGCCAGCAGCCCCTGCCTGGGGCACCGCTGGGCTTTTCATTTCTGGCCCACGCTCAGGTGGGGCCAGGCCAGGAAAGTGAACGAGAGCCGAGCCCGGCTCCTTCCAGCAGCGCCAGCGCCGCCAGGACGGGGCCTGCGCTGCCTGCAGGACCTGGCAAAGGGCACGGCTGCTGCAAGGCACACACTGCACTGGGGGAACTGCTCCTCATCCTCCTCCTCCCTGCCCCTGCAGCTGTTTGTCTTGCTGCGGGATCAACCTTGATTTCCTAACAGCCACACACATACACGGATAATAATAATAATAATAATAATTGAAAACCCCACGTGAGGCGGTTAGTGCTCAGAGCATGAAGGAATGGCAGCTGGCTGGCAAACTGAAACTCACCATCTTCTGTGCAAACTGCACAGGGGAGAAAAAATAAAGTAACAACATGCTGAAGGGATTACACAAGGCTGATGCTCTGCTGGCAGCCCATCCCAGCCGAGCACCAGTGTGCTGGAGCTGCTGGGCCCAGCTCCGGCCTGGGCTCGGCTGACACACGGGGACAGATCAGTGCACAGAGCTCCACAGACGCTCTGGAGAGGCAGCACTTGGCTGCAGCCAGCGTTTGGGGTGAACAGAACGTTCCCCCACTGCCCAGGGGTGTCAGTGCTGGCAGGGCAGAGGGGCGTGAGGTGTCAGGAGAAGGTGCTGGGGCCGTGACCCACGGAACTGAAGCAGCCCCTCTGCCCCAGCAGGGCCAGTGCTGCTCCACGGGCTCTTGTTAGCAGTGGAAAGTATTAAATAGCACACACAAAAAAACCCACGCAAACAAAAACCAGGAAGAAAAAAAACCCAACAAACTCAAAAAACCCAAACTTTACAAATGCATCTGCTGCATGAAATCACTTCCTTTGGGCCAAGCCCTCAGCCGCGGAGCCCCACGGGCCGGGGAAGGCAGCAGCAGGATCCTGGAGAGGCAGGCAGGTGCTGGCAGTGCCTCGGAGGGGCTGTTCCCAGCAGAACCAGTGCTTTAGTGGCGAGAGCGGGGTCCCAGCACCCTCCTGGGCGGCTGGGCTGGGCTGCCCCAGCACGCTGCTGCATCCCAGGGCCTCCTGCACTGGCAGGATTTGGGCAGGGAATGATGAGGAGGGGGGCTGTGCGGTCAGGCCCAGCAGCTGGGGGCTGGACAGGGCATCCTCGGGCTGCCCAGGAACTGCAGGGAGAGCGCCACGATCCCAAGGGTGGGCACCTGCTGCCTTGTCTGGCTCATCAGCCCAGCTCCAGCAGCCTCACGGGGACAAAACCAGGAGAGAAGCCCCAGCTGTGGCCAGTGGGCACGCAGCAGGGATAGCCCACGGCCAGCAGGCCCCAGGACTGACGGCGGGCAGCGGAGCCGGGCAGGCTGCGGCCATTGGGTCGGGTCAGGCACAGGAACGGCTGAAGGGAACCGGCCCCGCTGTGCCCTGGAGCTGCCAGGGACGGGCTCGGGCTGGAGGCAGCACCTGCTGCCCTGCGGCTGCCACAGGAGCTACCGCAGGGATTTGACGATGGCCCTGAGGGCGTGTGGCGTCTCGGGGACCGAGGGGGACGAGCTGTAGAAGGTGTCGCTGTGATTCCTGCGCTGCTCGCGCAGGTACGGAGGGACAGAAGAACTTTTGATGTGGAGGATCCTGGTGTCCATCACTTCACAGTCAATCTGCATCATCACCTCGTAGTCCTGCCCGTTGATCACGTTCTCTGCACAGGTCAGGACAAAGAAAACGGGGTCAGAGCTGGCCCTGCCAGCCAGGGATCCAACAGAGCTTTGGGGACCTTTCCTTGTCTGGAGCAGGAGCTGCAGTGGGGGATCTCCCCTTCTGGAGCTCCACCTCACACAGCAGAGCCCCAGACTGCTCGTGACACCCCAAAGAGCCCACACCACACTCTGCACCTGCACTCACACCTACAAATGAATGGCTTTTATTTTCCCTTCTTCACCTGCACGTGATTACCGATGGAACCTGCACCGTGTCACATTCATTACAGAACTGTTGCTCTTACTAGAGCATGGGAGTGATTGAAGATAAGGTTTATTTAAGAAAGCTGAATGCTTCATTTTCTGTAACCCTCTTGACCCCGAGGACCTTGAGGAATTTCTTCACCGGTTTATTAATAAAAAGAAGCTAAAATGTGATCTCTCAGAAGAATTAACTGTGCCTCACTCCCATCCTGAGCTGGCTGTTGTACTTGAGGGATGTGGTGACCCTGGGCAAGGCCACTCCCCTGGCAGACCCCTGGACACAGAAGACCCTGAGCAGCACAGGGGACCCCAGTGTGCACATCTGCTGCCACAGGAGCTGCTGGGCTCCCAGGCTGTGCACATGGCCAGCATCTGCTGCCTGCATTTAAAGGTGGGAGACCTTTCCCTGCATAGACAGCGTGCCCAGGAATGCAAGAGCCGAGATCGGATTTCCAGGCACGACCAACCCTTTCAGAGTCAGAAGACTGCCATTGGCAGGGCTTCCCTTCTGTGCTGAGGAGGGTGGAACATCACCTAATGGAAAGCGTATGGACTGCAGGAATGCAATATACATTACTAATTTTTACTGTTTTCCTGGATTAACTCTGACTCTGGATGACAGCTGACAACCGTGGCCGGACCCTCCTGTTCCCCACGCCACCTGTGGGAGCCATTAGATCAACTATGTCTGGTACAGTAATGAAAAGCAGGAGCAAACCCTTGCTGAGGGGGCTGAGAGCCTGCAAGGGAAATCAAAGCTCCCACCTGCAAGAAATGAAATGGAAAAAGCTCTGTGTGTGCCACCAAGTGTCTGAAGCCAGGAGCAGCTGTGCAGGTCTCTGTGCCACCGACCTGAGCCCCTGGGAAGCACAGGGGTGACACACCTCATCCCTCCTGGGACCCTCTCAGAGCCCATCCCTCCAGACCACCCTTTCTCCCTGCCTTTGGAGGTGCTCTTTGCTCCCACCCCAGGGGCTCAGGAGCAGTCAGCAGAGGGGGCTGGAAAAGGGGGCAGAGGGGCACCAGGGGAAGCTGAGGGGCAGAGAGGCTGGAGCCAGCAAATGGCACAGAGGGGCTCCCTGTGACACAGCAAGCTGGGCACAGCTCCTCAGCTCCCACGCTGCAGCTGGCAGGAGACAGCTCCGTGAGAAGCAGTGCTCCAAAGCCACAAGTGGGTGAGGTGGGATGGGACGGTGGCCAGGGCCAGGAAAACGTCTCGGTAATGCAGTGAGCCTCCCTGACTAGCCACAGCAGCCAGCACAGAGGGCTATCATTAACTTCTGGGCATTGCACAATGGAGAACAGCAATGCCAGTGCTCAGGCAAGGCAGGAGCTGAGCTGTGTGGGTGGCACTGGGGAAGCAGCCCAGCCCTTTCTGGCCAGCTGGGATCCCCCAGTGCTGACACAGCTCCCTCCCAACAAAGTGTGCCAGCAGTAAGCCAGCCACAGCTCTGCCACCCTGCAGCAAGAGGGGTCTTTGAGTCCTGCACAGCACAGAGCTGGGGGGAATCACGCTCACAATGAGCCCCTCTCTGTTCAGCAGGCACTCAGGGGATGCACACCCCCCCAGACATCCACAAAAAGCACCCAAATCCTGCCCTCAGCCTGGGAGTTAGGCAGGATTTGAAGTTGGCATCTGATTCTTTCCATTTTTAGGGTCAAAGGTACCAAACTGCTGCAGAAAGCCTCTGTAAATCTCACAGGGGAGAGGGCAGCAGTGGGAATGGCTCAATGCCCACTGCAGGCACTTCCAGCAGCCTTTCCCATTGCCATTGGCTCCAAAGAGACATGCAAGAGGAGCTGGGATGTCTCCCAAAGACAGCAGGTACTGCTTGCTGCTGCTGCCAGGCTCCTGGACCAGCTCTGCTGTAAGGAGGGGTCTGAAAGTGGTGGCACCACCCAGCCCACCCCAGCCCAGGGAGGGGCTGATGCTCTCTGAACACCCCTGTGATGGGGTCTCAGCAGGCAAACGTCACCTGGGTGCAGCTGGCACAGTCCCCTGTTTGGGAAGAGCAGCTCACTGTCATTGCAAACAGTGACTCCACACAGCTCTGTCCTGAGCTCCGTGCCACCAAGCTGCTCCATGATCTGGATGAGGAATAGACAGCACACTCAGAGGATTTCTGTAAGATGTTAGACTGGAGAGATTCCAACCACCTTGGAGTGGCTAGACTGCAGTTTTGATAAAAGAGAGAAGCTGTCCAAAATTTTCAGAATGCATTTCAACCACAGCCAGAGCTGGAAAACATGAGTAGAACTGGGGCTGGGCAGAAGTATTACAGAAAAACCTTGAGAACTGCAGAGGATCATTGTGGAGAAGCCAGCAGAATGACAGGACTCGAAACAACAGCTCAAGAGAAACATATTTAACTTTGACCGAGTTTCTAAAGACAAGGAAATGCAAGCCCTGGATGAAAGCACCTCGGGGAGGTGAGAGGATCTCCTTGATGAAGAGGTTCTAAGGAAAGGCTGGAGGAGCAGCTGCCCATCAAGCCCTGGTTACCAGAGCTCCACTGACACTTGTGTTTGCTCCTGCTCCCTCTGGCCCTGCCCTTCTGTGAGCTGCAGGTGCCTGCTCACGACCGGGGCTGTGGTCAGCACCTTCCCCAAACACAGCACCTGGAGCTGAGCGCTCTCCACACGGCCTGATCTGACTCCCAGAACAAGAAAATGATTTTTGCCTGGTGATTCCTGCGTCAGATCATTCAAAACCAGCCTTGTCAGGCTTTCTCTCCTTCCCCCCCGTGCAGTCCCAGCAGCTGGAGGCAGCAGTGGGGCAGAGGGGCTGTGGCCAGCACTGAGCTCAGCAGGCACAGGTGGTGACCCCTGGAGGGGTCAGTGTGTGTGCCCAGCACTCAGGCCAGCCCCCAGTGCCCTGCTGGGCACAGCCAGCCCCCACAGTGCCCTGCCTGGGCACAGCCAGCCCCCCCAGTGCCCTGCTGGGCACAGCCAGCCCCCACAGTGCCCTGCTGGGCACAGCCAGCCCCCCCAGTGCCCTGCTGGGCACAACCAGCCCCCCTCCCAGCAGGACACAGGCAGCAGGGTGCCTGTGAGCCACAGCTGGCTCTGCCTGAGCCCAAGGGCTGGCTGGGTGTCAGCACTGCCCCATGGCCAGAGCAACCCTGACAGCCAGGGATTCCAAAGTTCACTGAACTGAGTCACCTGTGACTGATGCTTTGTGGGATTACGTAAGTGAAAGCACAGGAACGGATCTCCTGTAGAGGTGTCTGGATTTATAAATAGATTTATTGCTCCTCTTTGAAGTTCAGAACATGCAGCTTCTCACACGGTGCAGACTCAGCTTAGGAAGCCATCCCTGCTGGCCCAAGAGCCTGTGCTGCAGTTAATTATTTGTTAACAGGTTTAAAAGCCGTGCTTCAGATGATTGACTATTTCAAATTAATAGCAAAGGTAACTGTGCCAAGCGCTGCTGCTGACTGCACTTTCCCAAAGAGCCTTGCTGGCTCTTGCAGGCTCTGCCAAACTCCCAGCACCAGCCTGGTCTAGGGAACAGAAACCTAATTCCCAGTGCTGCTCTTCCCCTACAAACAATCATGCTGCAAGATCCACCAGATGAAAGCTAAAGTCTGTAGTCCAAACCAAAACCAAATAAGGCTGAGGCCATTAACTACTGCTACAAATTACTGAGGATGATGGAAAATTGTCTACATATTTGAAGCACTAGATTTTTAAAACTCTTACTGAGAAGGCCATGAAACCAAAATCCCCCTCAGTAGCACTGACATCTATCAGTCAGCTGAGTGTTCAGATGTCTGGGAGACTTTCTATGGGAGATGCTCTCTCAGAGAAAGGCACAAGGTGAAAGGCACAGAGGCCTTGAAAGGCAGGCAATGGAACTGCCTTGCTAATTGCAGTTAATAAGAACAAATGGTGATGCCAACTCCACAGACTTCACCTTTACACATATCAGGATGTCACACACCTGTCCTAAAGAAGATGTAGTTCTGATAATTTATCCTTTCCTATTACATCTTCCCCAAAAAGCTTTGCTGCAGCAAATGTTCACTGTGAAAAGTTGTCTGCAGAGAAACTGAAACAGAGCTCCCCTGAAAGGCCACCTGAGCTTGCTGGACTGCTACAAACACCATGGAAAGGCTTTACAGCTCTCTGAAGGTGCATTCATGCCACAGGTACGTTTATAGATCCTTATTCTACCAGAACTATGTATTTTACTTTAACTCTGGGCAATATCACAGTGGATTACCAAAAAAATACTCTGTGGGGCCAATACTCTATCACTCAGTGCTGTCCTCAGTGCTCAGGCCCTTTTCAGCAGATAGCCCTGCAACTGCTGGCTGCTTTCTGCCTTCAAAATGCTCAGAACCTGCCTGCCTCTGTATCTGCTGGGCTCACTGGACACACATTTAAGGTGCCATCAGCCACACAGGTCTGCATTACAGATCTGGTCCCTGTTCCTGGTAGGGCACAGGGAGGGCAATCACTTGCCCCATGCTTACTTTAACCACCTGTTTTTGTCAGCAAGGACAGAGAATCATCCCCTCCTCGTGGTGGGGAGCAGAGGGTGCCTTTGCTATCCATGGAACCAGTTGAACTGATGTCAAAACAGGAGCCAGAGAACCATCCCTGTGCAAGGTGACCCAAACCCACCAACTCCATTAAAGCCACCTTTGCTCAACACACTCTGTACTTCCCACAGTCCCTTTGAGAGAGGAAGTTTTCAGTCTCAGCATTACTCTGCACTCGGAGCCCCTTCTGC